CGAGGTGGCGAAGCCGCACTACCCTCATTCAGATCCTGTCCTAAAAGCGTCCCCCACTCTGCCCGCCCCTGCCCTGCGCCCGCCGCAGTGGAGCGGGCAGGCCGTGCACCTTCCAGCTCCGGCCCCTGGGAGCTTTGGTGCTTCGCGGGTCACCGTTGGTGGCAGTGAGAACTAGCCTCTCTAAAGCTTCTGCTTCCCTCCCTGCTTTGGCATGCAAAGCACACCTTTTTCTGTTTTTTTTTGTTTTGTTTTGTTTTTGCAGTTTGGGGAAGATGATTACAGCTAAACCAGGGAAAACACCGATTCAGGTATTGCACGAATACGGCATGAAGACCAAGAACATCCCGGTTTATGAATGTGAAAGATCCGATATGCAAATACACGTGCCCACTTTCACCTTCAGAGTAACCGTTGGTGACATAACCTGCACAGGTCTGTATGCACAGTTAACCCCGACGACCCTGCGGGTTGACAGTCAAGACTTGATACTGTTTATCAGTTGGGCAAGTGCCCTTTTTACTGGAGATAGCTGTGAGGGGCAGGCTCTTGAAATGAGACCTCTCATCTCAGGCCATTGGGATTTTCCAACTTCATCTGATTCTCTCCCTAATTTTCTCTTCCCCAGATACCAAGAGAAGCTCAGAAACATCCTAGGATCCTCCTAGGGTTCTTCCAAGAATTAGGGAGAAGCAGGAAAGGTTCTTGGAGCAGCCATAGCTGGATCAGTAGGTGCTATCAAGTTTTAAAGTTTCGTAGATTATAGCTGATTCCATGACCCCAGAGTTTTCTGAACCTCTCCCCTTTCTCTATGGACTCATTTGCCCCTTTGGGCTCATTGTACAACACTCGATTCTGGATCCAAGCAAAATGAGGAAGGCAAATGGCTTGAATACTCTATGTTGATTGCATAGCAGCTTCTAGTTCCTGACACTGTGTAGGGATTTTAATGAGCTGTTACCTCCTTTTTTATATATACATGAGGAAATAGGTTCAAGGAGATTAGAAATAACCTGCCCAAGGTTACATAGCAGTAAAGTGTCAGAGTTTAAACTCACCTTATTATGGTCTGTGAGTTTGAGCAAATTATAACTGAAGCTGCCCATTTGTAAATTAGACATTCTATTTCTTATGTATCTATTTAATTGCAAACAAAAATGTATTGAATAGTAAATTTAATTTGGAAGAATGTCAAGAAAAAAATTAAGCAGGAAGGCTGAAGTCCTGCCATTTTATAATCTGAAGGCATCATTTATTTGTGTCCCTGAAAATCTTGAGTCTGCTATTTTCATTAAAGCCACTTTAAGATAATTTTGAAGTTTTTTGTTTTTTTGTGGGATTTTTTTTTTTTTTTGTCTATGTGAGGCAAGTGGATTGGAGGTGCCAGCTTTAATAGCCTTCGTGTGAACCATAGAATCAACAATGCATTATTGCTTTAGCTGGTCTATTTTTAAATATTCAATGAAAAGTCAAGAAAAAGTAGCCTTTCCTCCTCAATGTGTTATAGACCAGTGATTAATAACCTATAGCAACCATTCTGCCTAGGCCCCCTACTCTGCTTACACTGCCCTATCTTCCTATACAAGCTTATCTGCCTCCACGGCATCAAATACTATCTAAACACTGATAATTCTAAAACCTCTATCTTCAGCCCAGGCCCAGTTACAGAACAGTATCAGTCTGTGTTTGCTAGACATCTTTACTTGGAGGACCCAAAGACACCTCAGTTTCTCATCGCCTCAGACTGAATCCAGCTTCTCTCTCCAATCCATTCCCTCTGCTTTCTTTAGCTCAGTAAAGGGACCATCATCACCCATTGGCTCCTAATAGAAATTTGTGTCTGATCTCCTTGATTTCTTCCTCTCTTGTCCAGGCTATCACTAAATCTTCCTAAATATCTCTTGAATCTGTCCACTGCTCTCTTCCCATTTCTACTGTTTTGGCCTCTGTCACCTCCCCCTTGGATTATGGTTTGTCTTATAACTGCACTTTCAGCTTCTAGTCTTGTGATGTCCATTCTCTACATGACAACCAGAGTGTTCTTTCTGACATTCAAGTGTGTTCATGTACTTCCTCGTCTTAAAATCTATCCAGTGCCCGGCTGGTGTGATTCAGTGATTGAGCATTGATCCATGAACCAGGAAGTCACTGTTTAATTCCCTGCCAGGGCTAGACCCCCACTGGAGGCAACCAATCAACGATTCTCATCATTGATGTTTCTATCTCCCCTCTCCCTTCCTCTCTGAGATCAATAAAAAAATATTTAAAAACATAAAATAAAAATATATTTAAAAAACAAATTCATCCAGTAGTTTTCCCATTACCCTCTGAGTGAATATATATTTGTTGATATGACTTAGAACCTTGCTGCTAAAACTGTGAACAGCAGCATTGATATCACCTGGGCACTTAGTGGAAATGCAGAATATCAGAACCCATGCCAGACCTACTAGATCAGAGTATGTTTTTTAAGAAAATTCCCAGGCACTTCAATGCACATTAGAGATTGAGAAGCACACATTAAGGAGGCCATTCTCTGACCCCTCCTCCTATTCCTACAACTCTCTAGCCTTTTATCTCAGAGTTTCTTCCTTCCAGCTCTTACTGTATCCAACTACATGGGGCTCTTGAGAACACCGTGCTCTCTATCTTTGAGCCTTTGCCGGTGCTCTTTTCTCTGCCTAGATTGTTCTTCTCAACCCCTAGCTCTCTACATTTTACTAGCTTTTACTAATCTTTCAAGTCTTCATTTAGTTATCTCTTCCTTTCTTTGTGAAACCTTTCTGAATCCTTACTAAGTGTAGGGAGCTGTCCCTTGTATGTGCTCCCCTGCAACCTGCACTTAGGCCTGCCATCACATGTACCATTCCATATTTCAAACGCCTTTTACAGAAGAAATTCTGCACTAGGGTTTGTACTCTTTAAGGGTAGGGACTCTGTTCAGTTCTCTATTAATACCTACATTGGTGGATAAATGAGTATAGTGTGTGTGTCTTCCAAAATTTATTCCACGTCTCCTTTCTTTCTTCCACGCCAGAGGAATGGACGTCAGCATTCTAATACCACTTTCGAAGGGTTCTCAACATCTAGTTTGAACACAGAGGAAAAAGATTGGATTTACCAGATGTGATTGCTTACTACAGTTAGGCATCAGTGTCAGTGTTCAGTCAGGATTAGCCCCTCTAGCCCCCTTAGCTACCCTAAAGGATACAGATTGTAAGTAAGACACATAACATAAGCTCTCACCTTCTTCCCCATATAATTCTTCCCACATTGTACCCAGTATATAGGCATGACTGCTTATCGGATCAAAAGCTTAATCCAGGATAGGACAGGCCGTTAGAATAAAATTGTGCACATTTTCTGTAAGTGGCTCCCTTAAAGGAAACTTATTGTTATAGAAGAATTTCTCTCTGTGAATAGGGGAAGAGTAAAATACGAAGTTGCATTTCTTCAAAAGGTGTATTTGGGCTAGTTTATTACCACTTGATGTAATAAATATATAATGGAGACATAATATGGATTTTTTTATACAGGTATGAATAGAATTAAATACATAGAACTTCTGCCCTACCTGGTTTTTCTCAGTGGGTAGAGTGTCGGTATACGGACTGAAGGGTCCCGAGTTTGAATCTGGTCATGGGCACATGCCCGGGGTGCGGCCTTGATCCCCAGTAGGGGGCTTGCAGGAGGCAGCCAATCAATGATTCTCATTATTGGTGTTTCTCTCTCCCCCCTCCCTTCCTCTCTGAAATCAATAAAAAAAATAAATATTTTTTAATATATTTTATTGATTTTTTACAGAGAGGAAGGGAGATAGAGAATTAGAAAAATCGATGAGAGAGAGACACACACACACACACACACACAGAACTGGGTTTTTTAAATGTATTTCATGTGGTGAATATTTTATGATAGGATATTTATTAGTATATGTTTTCATAACTATGTAAAGCCTGACTTTATTTTGCATTATGAAATCATCTATGCAGACCTCACATTTTCACAGCATATACTTTTGTTGTTGTTGTTAACCTTAATTCAGGTGAAGGTACAAGTAAGAAGCTGGCGAAACATAGAGCTGCAGAGGCTGCCATAAACATTTTGAAAGCCAATGCAAGTATTTGGTGAGCTAAATTTCTTTGTATTCTGCAGCTCAAAAATGTGGCTGAGGAGGTAAGATGAAAAGTTTGAACATGCTTGGAAAAGCAACCAAGTGAACAGTGTTTAGTATCTAGCTCTATAATATTATTTCATTGTGAAAATCCATCATCCTTTAAAGACAATTTATCCTTAAGAAATTAAATCCAGCAATTAACAATTAAATGAAGGCCCTCTTGAACTAGGCTTCTTTTAGTTTGTTTTCCGGACGGGGTGCAACAGTGGAAAACCAGAGGTTTTCTGACCAGTGTCTCACTGTATTAAGACTAATTGTTTCTATACTGAGGAAAGCAAGGTGTGAGGTGGGAAAAGATCAGCTAAAAGCACTCAGGAATTCTGTTTGGAAGGAGACAAAAAGATTTCCTTTTGTTATAGAATGTATGCCAAATACAAAAGGATGTTAAATGGGATGTGATTCTTGGCATATTTTTCCAAAATAAATTTTTTATCACATTAGGTACTTTTGGA